GCTAGTGGTGGGCTACCGGTCGAATTTGAGCAGCGCACTTCCCTCTTATGACGTCTGATTTGAAAATCGGGCGCTGATTTTCACCACTCGGGCTTCTTTTCAATTTCTCGAGAACTTCCTCTGTGGGTAGGTTCGCCAAATTTCACAGATACACAGCTGAAGGTACTAGCCTCCAAATGGTATAGTAGCCCGCTTCCCTATCCCCTTTGCTTTTCTGCCATTCCTCTATATGTCACGGCACTTTTGAATGGGATGACCTAATATGTATACAGTAAGACGGTTCCTTAGGGGAAGTGGACTAGCTGATGTTCAACGAGGGTTCACCAGTGACTGGAGTATCATGAAGGCAGTCAATTCGAATGATTTATGGATTGGAAGACTACGGTTCAATCTTTGATAGAGATTCACGCTCCTGAGATATTTACTCAGTCTTAGTCTTCCATCCTCGATGCGCTATATGTGGTAAATGTGGCACTTATCGACAGATGTCCGCGTTAATTACCAGAGCGATTACCGTCCCGAGAAGGATTGTGGGAATGATTTCCTATTTGGACGGAATGCAGATGGTCTCTGAGTATTCATATCGTAGAATGGTGCAGCTTCACACTGGACTGAAGTTCAGCCTTTCTGGAGATTCCATTCATTTCTTCTTCCAATCTTTACAGGTAGTCTCATCGACGAATGCTCCAGGAGGTGGAACAATTGTTTCGTCGCGTGATGAGAAAGGTCAGATTCATGTGAGAGTCGAGTACGACCGTAACCAGGTTCGTTTCACGACCGTGGCGTAATACGCCTATTAGCGAAAGTCATTTTGTTCAGATACTCCGCTCCGCCCACTCACCGTATTCCCTTCTGCCACCAGCGTGTTTGAAAGAACATTGTGATGAACACGTCCGAAATTCTGAGCCGTTTTCCACAGCGACATGGTATCAATCTTACTCCATCATGTGAGGTTGTAGCTTCGTGACCTCATCGCAAACAGGCTCAAATCCCTAACTATTCCTCAGATGTTAACCCTTTTCGCTATCCCCTTGTATTATGCTCATTGATTTTTTACTTCGAGTTTTTGGGCTTAATCAAAGAATAAAGGTTTGTTCGACATTAGTTCCGATAATGCTGATGTCATTCAATGGTTGTTCTACAAAAAGGAAGGCCTGAATTCGAGGGCCCATTAGTGATACAGCCGGTGAAGTCTGGGGTCTGAATAAGGATAACAGGTAATGTGTTCGGCGTTGATCGGTCTGCACGGGATGCGGCACGCATTCTACTTCCATTCAGAATCGTAGTGGCTTATTGAATGCGATGTGGCCTATACAATGACTTGCGGTAGCCAGCCGATGTACAAATCAGGGTTCTTATCCTCGAGATGAACCTGGCATCATTTACCGTTCTCAGAAGCTAGAAGGCTGGTGACCTGGGTGGGAGCCGATCCGAGTTCACCATCGGACTACGCGCGTGGTAAGCGTGCCACTCGCTACTACACCACCTCGGGTTCTAAATAAGAACGCGTCAATTGAAATCGGTGAAAATGAACCAATGAACACCCGAAGAAGCCCTAACAAGCATTTGATTCGAGGAAAAGCATTCGGAGAAGTGAGACACTGATTTTCCAGGTGGCATACCAAACATGAGAGAAAATGATTGCAAGCTGGAAAATGAGGGAGACAACCAGATCGGTCCTGCACTGAATGCATGCGTCACATCTGTTTTTATCCCCATATGGGTGAGGCAACTCCCATGAGTGGCACTCTTTTGGGTATAGATGGCTGCAGCATCCTCTTCAGTGCCTGTCGAGCCGCGAAAGTGGAACAAAGTCTAAGATAGTTGGTGACAGGACTGCCTAGCGACTGCGATTAAGGGAGCTTCCCCGTCGGGCAATCGCAGAAAATGCCTTTGAGAATGGACAACATGAATGAGGAATATTCCAGTAGATCGGACCCGAATGGTCCTTGTAATCTGAGGATGTGCATCCACGCTTCTTTGATAGAACATAAAGATATCCGGAATAATAGTATGTAATCATTGCGGCGGCGGAGGTTTTGTAGTGGCAAGTGACACGCTTACAACGCGCCATGGTCCAGGAATCAAATCCTGGATTGTCTCCCGCCTAGGCCAACCAAGCCATCTACTTCTGGGACGCTAACTGGTACTAGATTCCTCTGAAAGGATAAGAGTACTGACTTGAACATCGGATAGCCACCGCATTGTGTAGGCCACATCGCACTGAATCGCCACTACGATTCTGAATGGAAGTAGAATGCGTGCCGCATCCCACAAAGGGATACATCAACGGCGAAGACTTTGTCCGTTATCCTTCAGTCATTATATGAAGATTTACTTATCCTCCCAGTTTTTGTTCAAATCTGTGATTATTTCATGAAAGCTGCAGAAAAATAGCTGAGGACCATGGGGAGGGAAGTGGAAGAATAGCTTGGATGCCTGAAATTCTCACGGTACACGATGATGAGGTGTGATGTCTGTCTGTTACGTAGGTTCTGGGTTAGCCCCGCCCCTAGTCATATGTGCGCGATGTTGTGGCGATCGGCGGTGCTGGTGGCTCTGTGCATTCTTCCACAGCTCTCTCTATCTCAACTACCTATTTGCACCCGAGTGCAGGCCTGTTCTGCTCGGGTCGACACCTATCCTCTTATTGAAGACGACTCATCCGGCTGGAGTTCGGGTTTAGTACCCCTCTACGATGAAGCTTTCTCAACCGCTTTTTTCGACTACACACAAACTCCTGAAACGAAGACGTTCGAGCTTTGTGTATGTTCAAATAACCAGACCTGTGACGACAGCATCGGAGATAGGTAAAGATAGGGTTTTGCTAAAAATTTCTAAGCATCTTCCCGAACCCATCGTCAATTGTAAAAAATTTTGAGACAATTTCCAGAAACCTCCGATTAGATGAAATTGTGACGCTGACATTTTGTGAAGATGTTCGACAACAGCTGCCTCTTCAATGTAGAGGATCACGGGGCTTACCGCGAGTGATTGGAGTCTCTCATCCTTCAGGTGAAAACCATATCTTTCGAATACCGTATCTGTTGCTCTCACATTCGCCAGGCTACTGTCATGTCTCAAATTACGCGACACTCTCTGACACTTATCTGTTCTCGTCTCTGTCTCCTACAATCATTGACATTTTTTTGAGTAAACAAAATTGGACTGCCATTCAGCAAAATCGCCCTCTCAATTATTTGCATGCTTGCTGAAACTCCGAAGGTGCAAAGGGTAGCTTATTAGTGGGAAGAACACCGAAAGGTGTTTGACTAGCCCCTTTCTCCCCTGCTCCGCTCTAGGCAAGTGACCATATCTGTTGACGTGGCGGAGGAATTTTGCAAACTGTAACATGAGAAGCAAAGGGCAGAGAGGCGTTTCTGTGTCATTACATCATCGGATCAGCTATGTTGAGATCAATTAATAGGTGGCGACTACGAGACAACTGCTCACTCCTACATCTCGCTCAACAATTGATTGATGTAACGACATGCAAAAGGCCCGTCCTCTTGTCCACTGACTTCCGTTGGGTCAATTACCCAACTGAACTTACAAAACTCTGGTGCAGTCACATACTTTTGTAGAGGAACAGAAAATCAGTCGAAGGCAACGTTATCTTATGCATGCACTGTGTGGGGAATCTGTCGAGCATGAGCAGAGGTAAAGGTTCCAGGGGAGGCTGGTTCCAAGAGATTTTTCGATGTACGTCGTACTGAGGCCAGGGCACCAGAGCCAGCAATCGTTATGAAAAGCACCACGGGAAAGGTCGTCGATCGCTGGAAGTTTGTGGTGTGAACTTGAGAAAATTCTTTTGGTTGTTGATTTTTTCCGTTTTGAGCGCTCATCATTGCCAGCACCATATTAGGGAGGTAGGGAGGGAAGATGTCGAATCGTTTGGAGAGCGTCTCCCGTAAGCTGTTTTGAGTGAAAACCGGAAAAATTCTTGGAAATGAGTAGATTTTGGTGAGGTGTAAATAGGTTGCAAGACCTTACGACTCTGCCATGTTACCCATTCCGATGCTCGGGGGTCCAGAATGCTCTGTCTAAAGTTTCTTCATTTGAGCGGAAGACAGGGTTGAAGGTCAACCTCTACCCTGTCAGGATTGCTTATTCTGAAAATCCCAGATTCTTACGAAATCGCTCCTCTGACTGTGAATTTTTCTCGAAGACTTTTTCTGTTTTTCGAAAAGGAACCTACACCATCAAACTAGCACTTTTACAGTCGGTAGATTGCACTTCTGCCACTCCTAAATCTGGTTAGATATTTGTCGTAACAGTTAGAAGATCGGACTAGGCCAAGATAGGTTAAAGTCGTCTACTACTGCCTTCCTGCGACAGAAAGGTGGAACTGCCGAGTTCATACCTGGAGACCCGAAAGTCGGGCGACTGTACTCAACCGCGCTCTTCCTCTGGTCTTGGAACCGTTGCATGTTAGAAAGAAAGTTTTTTTCTAATGTGACTGGATGAGCAGTCGCGAAAGATCAACTCTGTACGTTTTCTTTTCATATGCGGTTGTTCCAGACTTCTGTAGAAAGTACTGTTGACTTGTCAACAGTACTTTCTACAGAAGTCAGTGGACAAGAGGACGGGCCTTCGCAGAGTATAAACGCGGTCATGACATCCTTTATGGTGAATGTGATAGGAAGAAAGAACTGACATAATAGGAATAATGAAGACATCCATGTACAGAACCCACCCGCGGTTTTTTCTACCACTGGTTGTTTTCTTCCTGAGCCGATCTCCCTTAGTACAAAACGCTGCCAGTGGTCAAGCTGAGTCTATCCGTCCTAGAACCGCCTCGACTGAGTGCGATGATATCAGTGCACGCCTTCTCTGAAGTTCAAGCACAAAAGTTCCCGGATCCTTGAGTATTTTCAATTTTTCGTTTGTTGAAGATTATCCAGCCTCTCCTTTTCCATTTGAAGTTGTGTACTCTGTGCTTCGCGTACAACATTCTTAAAGATACAATCTGTGTTCCCCTGATAAATAGAACTACCTCCCTGAATAAGACAATTCCGTTCGTGCAGAGTGTACCATATCCGAAACCAGCTGTCACGTGGAACGGTGTATGTGGGAATGCTCATGCGACATTCAGAGCACGTCGTGCGTGCGAATCCCAGCAAGGGGTCGTATCGGGTCGCCGGAGGGAGCAGTAGTCGCGTACCCTCTGATGTTTTCAGTTGTTGAATCTTCTCGGTTTTTCCTATTTTATTTGCGTTATACACGCTCCCTCCTTCCCCGACCACGCGCAGTTTTTTGGGGGAAATAAGGAGGAATTTTTATTGGGAAGAACTCCGACAATGTGGTAGGAAGCTGGAAAGGAGGAGAT